CAAAAACAGCTCTCCGGTGGACAGCAGATGGGAAAAGGAGACGGAGACGACCTAAGGAAACCAAGAGAATGACAACAAAACGGGAAATGAAGGAATGTAAACTGTTATGGGATACCATGGGCAGAAAAGCAGCAGACCGGCGGTAATTAAGATCACTTATATGTCAACAGCGACATGAAGAGGATAAATCCATATAAAATGTGAACCCAACATGCACCAATGCTCACATATACACACACGTTAACATGAACTCACTTACAAATTTAATGTGGGCCGAACCTGCACTCACACACATTTATTCCCACAAACGTAACGTATTCACCACATTGCGTGCACGCGCATGCGCGCACATACACACACACACACACACACACTCACACAGGCCGGACGTAGAGTCAAAAACACACTGTCCATTCTAGCGTTAATTGAATAGCTAATGGATGCATCCGGAAAACACACGCATAGTTCAATGCTATCGCTGCCAGCCTTCCGGAGACTCACAAACATACTGCTCTCAGCTTACTACAGCCGGCAGTTTGCTCTGTTTAACATTCCGGGCAAATCCTTTTGCCATTTATGAAACACCGACGTGGAATACTAACATATGTCCCGTGAAAACAATGTATGGTAAGTTTACACAACTCGTTGACATTTGATGCCAAGAGATCGGTTATGGGCTGCCCCTTTGTGACCTGGCTGCTTGGTTGCTCAGTTTATAATATGTGAATATGCGGATATGTGAATATGCGGATATAGTAAGTCGGTTGAAATATTATTATGGTGTTTAAAGGATATAGAAAAAGTTGTCAACTGATTGCTGGTTTAATATATACTGGACTTGTATCTTTCTGTGGATTATGTCAGTCCTATTACTATCTGGCTATTGTTATTTATACAGAAATAACAAGTGTTTTAAAAATTATAACATTCAGCAAAAAGAGATATATTTATATCTACATTGACTGTTACGACATCTACCCCAGCTACAACAAAAGCCGCAGCTACAACAACAATAGTAGTAATGGTAACAACTAATACACCCACTAGTAACAGTAGTAGTAATAGTAGTTCTTATGGTGGTGGTAGCTACGGCAGCAGCAGCAGCAGCAGCAACAGCAGCAACAGCGTCCTCTCCTTTTTTTTGTTCTGTTCTGAAATGCTTTGCGACGTCAAGGCAGACAGAGATTTCTGCAACAGGTCTTTCTGTTCGCTTCGTTTAAAGTACTTTTCAGTGTCTCTGGTATTTCTGCGGTCCATATTCTACTTGTCTGGGTCTGTTACCGTTGTATCTGTATGACATTGCTGTCTGTGGTGCCTTGTCTGCTGTCAATCTTGTTACATGGCCAAACCATTTGATTTGTTGTCTACCTATAAAGTTCAGTATTGGTTCTGTGCCGACTCTCCTCCTTCTTCTCCTTCTTTCGTTCGCCTGAAATAAGTTGTCTATATCAGCAATTTTGTCTCTTGTATAAATTTCACTGTTGTTGTTAATTCATTCAGTGGTCCATAGAGTTTAATTTCCACTGTTGTTCTTTCTGGCCAAAAGGTTTGCCATAATGTGTCAAATTCGGTGCAGTCCTAAAGTACATGTTCTGTTGTCTGGGGCACCTTTCCACAGGTGCACATGGCTGATACGCCTATCTTGAATTTTGTGTACATTTGTTCCTAAGCCGATCTTTCCTCGTTACACCTAGCATAGTACGTAAATTTCATTTCTGTCGTGACTATTTTCCTTCTGTTCTTCTAAAGACAGTGTCCATGTTTGACATTGATAGCAGAGCATAGGTAAGAATATTGTTTTGAACAGGTTTCTTTTAATGTTCAAATTCACATACTTGCATTTCAGAATTGATACCATTTGGCCTAACACTTGATTGACTTTATTGCATATTTGTTGGATTTCTTTTTAATTATTCCGTGATCTGAAAAAGTGCTCCCCAGATATATAAAATCCTTCGTTTGCTTTAACTGGTGTTCATCAATGTTGATATTGGTGGTTCTTCCTTTTTCAGGAAAGTGTCGTCACTTCTGTTTTGTCTACATTGATCTTTATATCATAATTGTCGCATTCTAAGAGGACTTTATAAATATGTTTTTGTAGTTTTACTGCAGCAGCGGTAGTAGTTGTCGTTGTTTTTCAAATGAAAAAAAAAAAGTATTACTACTTCAAGTATACATACACCAGCAACAACTACAAGTAATGCTATAATACCAATACTACCACAACAACAAATATTTTAACTACTACTACTTAAATAACAGCAACAACAACTATTTCAGCTACGAATACTCGTACTGCTTCTACTACTATTATAATTACTACTACTACTACTACTACTACTACTACTACTACTACTACTACTACTACTACTACTACTACTGCTGCTGCTGCTGCTGCTGCTGCTGCTGCTGCTGCTGCTGCTACTACTACTTATACTACTACTACTATTACTACTACTACAACCACCACCACCTCACTGCTACTCTTTCTGTACTATAATTAATACAACTGGCACCACTAAATGTAACATCAATGTCTAATGCTTCATTTACTAGTACAAAAACAAGAACAATTACTATAGTGCTATCAATGTTATTAGTAACACTATAGTATTAAGACTAAATAAAATGCTGACACAGTGTTGTTGTAGCTGCTAGATTAAACAATTCTCTTTTTCTCTCACAGACAACCAGTGAACTATTTGCTGACGGATGGTCCTGGCTGCTCAAAATTAAAGACACCATTGTACAGAATATTACCCCTAACCGCTAGATCACCTAATGAGGCTTTTACGACACCTGCTTCCCCATTAGCAATAGTATTTCCAGCTCAACACGGCGCCGACACCGTGAAATAGAAGATGACTGCATCAAAGAGACGTGCCTCATGGGCAATACAAATGATCAGCGGCGGCGACTTTTCCAGAATTCTAGCCGTTGTGCTGCTGCTTCTAAAACTGTCTTATGTGGCAGAGATGAAGTACCTAGGGCCCAAATTATCACATCTGGCTATCGATGAGATATCGGGGGTTGTGTATGTTGGAGGTAAGAGTATTTCTTGCATGTGTCTTTTTATTTACTTTCAGTCTGTGTTTGTTATCAAGGAAGCAGCTGTGGGGAAGCGGCTGGACGCTCATCTATGGATCAGAAGGTGGTGGGTTTAGATCCTAAAAGATCAGACTGTTTTTTTTTTTTTTTTCTTAAAAAAAAATTGACAGCTCCTTGGTGGATCCAACCATAGATGGGTATCAGGTAGTGTTCTGAGAAGTACAGATGGCCGACATGATGTTGATATTTACGAGTGCAGATTGATATTTACATTATCCGCCTAGCATTATTTGTCCAATACTTCCCAAAAGAGTGGAAAAGGGCATAATTAACTCCGCTTTGTCGTACAATAACCGGCTCTCTCATGTGTCTGGAGGCCATAAGTAGAGCTTAGCATTTCTACTTCGACTTTGTTGTGTGTTAAATGACCTTAACTCCCAGGTCGACCCAGCCTTGAGTGGGTACCAGGTGCAGTCCAGGGAAGTAAAGGCGGCCGGCGTGATGCTGACCAAATCACCCATCTTGTGCCAATTGGTCTATAAAAATATAGGTCTAATCCTACATGCCCTATGCGCCTAAAGGCGTGGGAAAGGTTCCCTTACTTTTTACTTTTATTTCTACTTCTCTGTATTTAAATTAAAAAAATGTACTAACTAAAGCGTATAATTGTTACTAAATTAGTCGGGCAGTTTTGTGTATACTTGTTTATCTAAGATGTTTCTGTTTATGGATACAATTAAAAAACTTTAATTGTATTCCATTCCAAATATCCTTGTGTGAGTTCCGGGGTCCCATTGTAGGGAAAACAAGAATAGACCCACTGCCTCCCCAGCTAGCAGAGTCGACTGACTAGGGGGCTTCCTTTGAAGTCGGAGTGCTGCGGCCTGAGAGGCAAGGAACCAAGAATCTGCATACAAATGTCAGATCTATAAAACATGTGTACGCAACACTCGGGTTCTGGAACAAAAGACCAAAGTCCAGAATTTTCAGCTGGAGTTTACAGCCTGTGAACTCGAAGAAGAAGAAGAAGAAGAAGAAGAAGAAGAAGAAGAAGAAGAAGAAGAAGAAGAAGAAGAAGAAGAAGAAGAAGAAGAAGAAGAAGAAGAAGAAGAGGAAGAAGAAGAAGAAAACGAGGAGGTGGAGGAAGAAGAAGAAGAAAACGAGGAGGTGGAGGAAGAAGAAGAAGAAAAAGAAGAAGAAGAAGAAGAAGAAGAAGAAGAAGAAGAAGAAGAAGAAGAAGAAGAAAAAGAAGAAGAAGAAGAAAAAGAAGAAGAAGAAGAAGAAGAAGAAGAAGAAGAAGAAGAAGAAGAAGAAGAAGAAGAAGAAGAAGAAGAAGAAGAAGAAGAAGAAAGAAGAAGAAGAAGAAGAAGAAGAAGAAGAAGAAGATTCCAGAAAATGAAAAGTTCTCTTGTTTATAAATTATAGTACATAGTGATTATTTACAGACACTAGGTAACAGGTGGATAAAGGGGTAGTGCGAGAACGATATAAGTCACCTATGAGTTAAAGAGAGTGAGTGAACGAGCGAATGAGCGAGTGAGGTAATATGTATGAGTGAGCAAGTGGGTGGGTGAGTGAGTACGTGAATTAGTGACTGAGTAAGCGACAGAATGAATGAGTGAGTGCATGCATCCGTGAGGGCGTGAGTGAGCGAGTGAATGGATGAGTGAATTAATAAGCGAATGTTCCTAACATCGCGCCAACTCATTTCCACCATAACACGATAATGTTTCACATATTGCCCGCTAAATCGATCTTAGTACCAAGCAAGTGACAGATTACCTAGCAGCCACTACAAAAGAACTGAACTGCTAACCTCGACGATATATACTATTAAACTCAATCTGTTTTAGTTGTTATCATTGACATCTCATCCTTCCTCATTGTTCATAAAAGGCGAGTAATTGATTGCCCGGTTAACGTGCTGTGCTGTCTGGTTCCATTCCTCCCAGGTGAGAACCATCTGTACCAGTTAGACGCTGACCTGAATCTGTTGGTAGATGTCCAGACAGGCCCAAAGAACGACAGCACCATGTGTTTTCCGCCCCCAGGGGCCTGCTTTGTCAACAGGACAGCCACCAATAACCACAACAAGGTAAGCGAACAATAAGTGACCCCTTTTACACGCCTTCGAGCGTATTGTATAAATAATCATCATCATCGTGTAGCAGGTCCTTTGCAGAACGTCGCTCTCATCACGGTCTGTCTTAAAGAAACTGGCTCTTTCGCCAGCTCTTCCGCCTTATGTATTTTCATTCTCAAGGAGTCACTTATATCATGTGCCCATCTTTGTGTCGGTCGGCCACTGCCTCTCCTTCTGGTTTGTGAGCACAATAATAATGATTCTGATAATGATTAAAAAAAAAGAATAACAAGGCATTCGAAAGCAATCGAAAATCGCACATAACCTTCCTCACCTGGATCTACACACCTGGTCATGCTGGCGTAAAAGGTATCAAGCGAGCGGATCAACTGGTAACCAGTGCACCAGCGCATGTAGAAGTATGGCCAACATTGCCCATGCTAGGCTAGTGGATAACGAATCTTTTACTTTAACACTATTGCGTGACATGGGAGTAAAGCACGTACATGACGCCTTCGAGACCGAGATAGGAGACATAATAACCAACCTCTCATGGAAGCAATTAGTGGGACTGGGCATGTGTGGGAATTCCCGGTGTGCAGTGACGTTGATTGTGATAAAATAACATAACAACAGTTTGCTGAAACCAGAAAGTACTGGAAACAGAACTGCTAAAATCACATTTAATTTTTTTTAACCTTACTTATCCACATATAAGATGAAACCGCATTATTCCCGTGTGGGTTCAGGGGCCCTAATATAGGGAAAACAAGAATAGACCCACTGCCTGCCCAAGAGCATGTCGTAAGAGTTGACTAATTGGGAGCTTCCTCTGAAGTCGGAGTAAAGCTGCCGGAGAGGCAAGAAACCGACAGTCTGCATACAAATTAGTCAGATCTGTCAAACGGAAACAAACACAACAGTCCGGTTCTGGAACAGGACGACAGTCCAGAAAGTGGACAAACAACCAGAACTTTCCGCTGGAGTTTACGGCCGGTGAACTCGAAGAACAAGAAATCGCATTAAATTTCTATGATAAAACACCAACAAGGAAATCAAAGCGAAAATTTGAGAGCATGCATCTTCTCCGTAGTAACAGTTAGATGTGAATCGTGGAGTATTTCACAGTCATTAAGGAAGAAAATATGGTCTTGTGAGCTGAAGTGCGATAGAAGGGTTCTGAGAATTTTAGGGAAATAGATAGGAGAGTCATATGTACCCCACCAGAACATCACACAAGCGATAAACACCCGGTGACACAAAGTGCTACCAGGCGTGGAAAGGTCCCTGAAACCCCATTCAGCGGTTAGGCCAAATTTACGGCTTTTCTATATTTGGGGCCCCGGCACAAGCAGAGGTATGGCTTCAAAGTAACCAAAAAATTGCTCCCCACAAAGGAACGACTTATACTTCTTATGATATATGGAAATAGAAGAAAACAATATTTTGACATCAAAGAAGAACCGGAAATCAAGGAAGATTGGCCATTAAACAACATCCTCTCTTGGAAGCTGAAGTTTTTATGCCACATCAAGCCCCATGGAGGATTGAGAAAGAAAAGTAATAGCAAAACATGTTGTACCAGAAAGGACATGCTGGCGAAGAGCAGCATGGCGATACAACAGGACGTAACTGAGTCCTTGAGTATAAAACTACACAAGACCGGAGAGCTGGCGAGATCAGATTTCTGTCTGGCCGACCTTGATGAGAGCGACGTTCTGCAAAAGACCAGTTACACGATGATGATGAATCCACATAATTAAAAATGTCTTTGTCGGTATCGGCTAGACTAAAGTCACGTTTATGTTTGATTCCTATTGAGAATAGTCAGGGGAAACAAAACATATGAGATAAATAGAATGTATCTTGTTTCAAAATTGATTGTTTTTAAATAGCACTCAGACAAAACAGACGTCTTGTGCGTCATGGTAGAGATCCAGTTTGTCTGACTTCACACACACATACACACACGCACACAAGCACACACACACGCACGCACACAAGCACACACACCCACACACACATACACACACACAGGGAGAGAGAGAGACTTTCAAACAGAGACATAAAGGAACATGTAAATGATATTGAGAAACATAGACTCAACACATAAACATATACAGACACAAGCACACGCGATAGCGACTCAAGTCCTATCACTGTCCTATCATTGTCCTATCACTGTCTGAGGAGAATTTTGTGGCAAGGAGTGACCAGGGGATCTAGCTGACACTCAGTACTCTGGGCAAAGGCAAGCCGGACATACAAGCGGGCAGCTATTGGTGCCATCGGCAAAAGGGAAGTACTGGCTGTTCTTCAACTTCTGAACTGTATTATATTTTCAGAAGCTGAGTTTTGTGTCCAATATGTTTCACAGATCTGGCTTATTTGTATCTGTTGGTCCCTCGCCTTTGAGACAGATACACTACAACTTTAAAGAGAACGCTCCTAAATAGTCGACTCTTACGACATACTTTTAGGGGCGGTGAATACACCCCCTCCCTCCTCCCAAACCCTCAGGCCCCAGATACCACACGGGTAAATCATCATCATGTAGCAGGTCCTTTGCAGAACGTCACTGTCATCACAGTCTGCCTGAATTAAACTCGGTCTCTCGCCAGTTCTCCCGTCTCATGTACTTTCATACTCAAGGAGTCACTTATATCCTGTGCCCGTCTTCGTGTCGGTCGGCCCCTGCCCCTCCTTCCTGGTACCATGCCTTCTGCTATAATTTTTTCCAATCCGTCGTGGCGCTTGATATGACCAAAATATTTCAACTTTCGAGACAGGATGCTGTTTATTAGCCAATCTTCCTTGATGTTCACACAGGTATATATATTATAAAAATACAGGATTTTCTCCATGGATCATCATGGAATTGGTGGCTCAGCCGTTCTACTCGTGCTCTGAAGCTGTGGGTTCGATTTCGGTCTCCTGCCTTCGGTTTTGACTTCGTGTGTTTCAGAGTAGTCGCTGGAGCTACACAGTTCGTGATTTGTGCAAGATTTCGCAGGCAACCAACCAGTGTGTAGAGAGATACTGAGCTTTAGAATTACTCGTATTGCTGTTGGTGGTGTGGTGGTGATGATGTTGGTGGTGATGGTGGTGTTGATGATGGTGTTGATAGTGATGGTGTTGATAGTGATGGTAGTGGCGGTGATGGTGGTGTTGATGATGGTGTTGATAGTGATGGTGTTGATAGTGATGGTGTTGATAGTGATGGTAGTGGCGGTGATGGTGGTGTTGATGATGGTGTTGATAGTGATGGTGATGGTAGTGGTGGTGTTAGTGATGGTGGTGTTGGTGATGTTGGTTATGGTGTTGATAGTGATGGTAGTGGCGGTGATGGTGGTGTTGATGATGGTGTTGATAGTGATGGTGATGGTAGTGGTGGTGTTGATAATGGTGTTGATAGTGATGGTAGTGGGGGTGATGGTGTTGGTGATTGCGCTGTTCAAATCAGTAAGTAAATTAAGGGACCCTTTCGCCCGCCTTCAGTAGTATTGTTCATACAGAGAAAGACCTGTATTTTATAGACTAATGGACAGTTGCTAGGTGATGTGTGCTGCATCACGCTGGCCACCTTTACTTCCCAGGGCCTTAGCTGGTACCCACCCGAGGGTGGGTCGACCTGGGAGCCAAGCTAATTGTGTTTTAGAAAACGTCCGGTTCCGTTAGAATCCGGACCCAGACCTTCCGATCCACAGGCTTCGTCTAGCCGCTACACCACGGCTGTGAGAAGTTCACTGACGTTCTCAAATACTCCATGGTTCTAATAATAATGTATTGATAGGCACTCATAGAAAGAAATAGAAAGACCGAAGAAGGACAGACTAGCAGCAATTTAAAATAAAAAGCTTTATTGACCGTGCTATGAATCGAACCTCTCATCTCCAAAGGGCGTGTGACCCTAGCTGTGGAAACAAGCGTACTAAGAACATACTGCCCCACCGCCCCCCCCCCCCCAAAAAAAAAGAGGTCTATATTGGCATGTCTATCGTACAGCTTGAAATCGACAATTATGGAAAACGAACAGAATTCATTTCAAACTATTGAAATGGCACCATATGTTACATAAATTTATATTAACGAAGCATAGGTCGAATAAATCGTTGTCTACAACAGTCAGCTCTCCTACGCCGTGTACTGTTATAGTTAAGGAGTCACTTTTTCCTGTGTTGGTCGGCCCCTGCTTCTCCTTCCTCAGCAGAATTCATTTCAAACCATTGAAATGGCACCATAGGTTACATAAATTAATATTAATGAGGCATAGGTCGAATCAGAAGTACATAAGCCAGAGCTGGAAATCAGCCTAATGTGGTGACTTATTTGTTGGCTTGCAGGTGTTGGTGGTGGATACCCAGAGAAGAAACCTGATTACCTGTGGCAGCGTGTACCAGGGAATGTGTGAAACCAGGAGTCTTGCCAACGTGTCCAAAGTATTTGACACTCCTGACGGCAAAGATATCCAGAACTTCGCAGTTGCTGCCAACACGGAGGATGGCTCCACGGTTGCATTCATAGCACCTGGCCCGTCATCGCTGATGGGAACCGTGCTGTACGTGGCCACGACTTACACAGGTAACTTTTCGCTTTTTTTTAAATAAGCTTTTATTGAGTTCGGGATTGTTTGTTTGTTTGTTTGTCTGGGTTAATTTTTTGCTTTGGATTTTTATACTATTTCCTGATAACTTCTTTGGTAAGTCAGGGTAAAAGAGGAGGCTGTCCTTAGAATGGTGGCTGGCTGCTGGATATCCACCACTGCATTATCATGATGTAGCAAGTCTTTCGCAGAATGTTGCTCTCATCACGGTCTGCCTGCAAGAAACTTGGTCTCTCGCCAGCTTTACCACGTCGTGTACTTTTTGTTTGAGGAGTCCTTTTTTTTCTGAGCCTATCCTCGTGTTGGTCGGCTCCTGCATCTCCTTCCATCGCTCACTATGGAAAAATTACTTGGGGATGTACCAAACTCTTCTATGGTGCGACTTTCGACTTTCCTATCGCTGTCAGAGAGCCATTAGATTGATTTTTTTTTTCTAAACCATTCACTGTACGAATCAAACCCTGGCAAACGTTGAGATCTTTTCTTTTTTCTTTCCCCTCCTCCTGTTTGGCATCTGTCAACACAGTACTCATAATCCCGTTCTGAGTTTCCGTGTCAGATTTTGAAGAGGTGTCTGGTGGGGCCTGTGTGTGGTACAGCAGATTCGGGTACTTTGATATTCAAAACCTCCATCGCTTGTGTGGGCGATCTCTAGCTCTGTTCTCCTTGTGCCCAAGTGACAGGGCTCTCTGTGGTGCACTACCTAGTGATAGTCTTGACATATATCCAAACCATTTGATCTGTTGTCTCTTTACTTTAGCATTGGTTCTGTCCCAACTCGTTTCTTGATATCATTTCTGATCCGCCTCCCCCTTCCCCTGCTTTTCCTGTCTGTCTTTCTGTCTGTCTGTCCGTCTGTCCATCTGTCTCTTCTCTCTCTCTCTCTCTCTCTCTCTCTCTCTCTCTCTCTCTCTCTCTCTCTCTCTCTCTCTCTCTCTCTCTAACATCGTATTTTTTTTGCGCGCGCGCGGTGATACATTTATCTTCATCTTCCACCTTGGCATTAAAAGTATGGTAGCAACAGTTGCTGATATAGCAGCAGATGTCTAGCTCTGAATACTGCGGATAGCTTTGAATAAACAATTTCTTTCACATTGCCAGGTCACAGTCTGGTATAACATCTTAGATGTAAAGCCTGTGTTTGTAACTTAGTCTAACAAGACGCTTGGAAAAAAAAAACAGAGTACGCACAAATATCCTTTTCTAACTTACTGAACATTCTTGTTGCAGGTACAACGCGGGAAAGCAGAGTCTATCGTGACCAAGTCCCTGCCATTGCCACAAGAAGTCTACATAAAGATCAAAGGTTCTCTCTAGCTGTTGTAGACAACGACTTCCTCAAAGGGAAAACCTCAGCATTGTATTTAAAAAGTGAGATTGCATCCTCCTACCTAATTCACTATGTTCATGGATTCAGTTCTGAAAACTTTAGTTATTTTCTCACTGTCCAAAGGGACCAAGTTAACGCCATCAAGCTGGGAAAGCTGATCACCAAAATCATCCAGATTTGCCAAGAAGATAGTTACTTCTTCTCCTATGCAGATATACCTCTGAAATGCGTGAAGAACGGTGTGGATTATAACATACTGGAGGCTGCGCGTTTAACCTTACCTGGGGAAGAGCTTAAAGATGATATGTTTTCTGATGGCTACCCAGCCGGGAATGTATTAGTTGCAGTGTTTTCCAGGACAGAAGAAGACAGTCGTATTGTAGACTCTGCTATCTGTATTTACACCATGAAGGAGATTCGGACCAAGTTTCTGGAGAATATTAAGCTCTGCCACCAAGGAAATACGTCTGTTAGTGGCGGTGGATACCTCAGGGTTGGCCCCAGGGGCAACTGCAACCAGCAGGTAAGTTGTATGTCATGTACTGTTTTTTAATTTCTGTTTTCTCCAGAATGATCGAAACAGAACAGACCAAACCACATTATTTCGATTAGACACTAAACACTGCAGTCTTGAAAAAACACTGACATTACTTGGATGTGAGCCAAACATGCTTAACTCTTTGAGTCCCAAGGAGTTTAACATCACAGGCCCAAGGGGTAGTCAAGAGAGACGTAAAATCGGCGCATCTTGCTGTTCACTGGGCTTCTAGGTAGGAATCTATGAACGTATGATGCGTTCCTTAGGACTCAAAGAGTTAAAGGTTATAGTCGAGAGGATCGGCTGGGTTTTATCCCATGTGGCTTGGTCTCTCTTTTCAAATGACTAGCTGTCAGCCAAAAGCATCGTTCGAAGCTCGACCACCATAGCTCCGGCGACTATCTCCAAACAATGAGCCAAACAGATCTCTTACCGCGTCTGTGCTGAAAAGCCGACAGAACATGTCTTGCAAGACTATTTTCTTCCAGCAGACTTGACAACTTGGGAAACCTAAGAGATCCTGAGATGCCATCCTATTTTATAGCTTATAGTGGGTTGAGTTGAGTTGTTGATTTAAGAACCGACATCACAGCACTCGGGGCATTTCCATAAGCACCCCGTCCCTATCCTCAGCAGCCAATGAAGAGTTCTGATACTCATTGTTTGCTAAGTGAGTGGCCAAATATTACTGAAGAAGAAGAAAAGTAATTTACATCCATTAAATGTAACACATGCGGATAACAACGGTGCTACTGAAATGCCATGATGTAAGCACTCAAGACTTCTGAACACAGTCATGCCAGCCACAACGGTATGAGTTGTGATTCCCAGACATTCCTGTAACGTAATGTAACACTGTCATCTAGAAAGATATTCTTATACATTGTAAATGATTACAAACTCAGACAAACAAATAAACACAAACATACACACACAAGCCTGGGTGCCAACACTAACACGCATGTAAGACTGGGTGCCAACACTAACACGCATGTAAGACTGGGTGCCAACACTAACACACATGTAAGACTGTGTGCCAACACTAACACACATGTAAGACTGTGTGCCAACACTAACACACATGTAAGACTGGGTGCCAACACTAACACACATGTAAGACTGTGTGCCAACACTAACACACATGTAAGACTGTGTGCCAACACTAACACACATGTAAGACTGGGTGCCAACACTAACACACATGTAAGACTGTGTGCCAACACTAACACACATGTAAGACTGGGTGCCAACACTAACACACATGTAAGACTGTGTGCCAACACTAACACACATGTAAGACTGGGTGCCAACACTAACACACATGTAAGACTGTGTGCCAACACTAACACACATGTAAGACTTGGTGCCAACACTAACACACATGTAAGACTGTGTGCCAACACTAACACGCATGTAAGACTGGGTGCCAACACTAACACACATGTAAGACTGGGTGGATCACAGAGATGGACTAGATTAAAAAATTTTTTTTGCCACAGCTGGAGATCGAACTTAGACCACTAACCTGGCAAGCAAACGCACACACTTCTAGGCCACCCAGGCTGCTGGGTAAACTAACCTCCTAGTTATGGTCTAATGAGTTGATTTATAAAGTGCAACCTGTTGTAGCACTCAACTACCCACAAGGTAAAATGTGTACAAAGCAGGTGCAGTGCCGACTCCTGTGCTAGGAGATAAGATAACGCCAAATCAACATGGATATCTCTCCTTCCCTACTGGTGAAGAAAGTGGTAATTGAGGTTAACATACCAGAGTTACGGTAGCAGGTTGGAAACTAGGATCTCATGGATAGATTGGTAGCTGAAAAAAATAATTAAAAGCTGGTTCAATTTAAGATTGCAAGACAATATCCTTTAATACAGTGGTTCTCAACTTTCCTAATGCTACGATCATTTAATACAGTTCCTCATGTTGTGGGGACACTTTAATACAGTTCCTCGTGTTGTGGGGACACTTTAATACAGTTCCTCATGTTGTGGGGACACTTTAATACAGTTCCTCATGTTGTGGGGACACTTTAATACAGTTCTTCATGTTGTGGGGACACTTTGATACAGTTCCTCATGTTGTGGGGACACTTTAATACAGTTCCTCATGTTGTGGGGACACTTTAATACAGTTCCTCGTGTTGTGGGGACACTTTAATACAGTTCCTCATGTTGTGGGGACACTTTAATACAGTTCCTCATGTTGTGGGGACACTTTAATACAGTCCCTCATGTTGTGGGGACACTTTGATACAGTTCCTCATGTTGTGGGGACACTTTAATACAGTTCCTCGTGTTGTGGGGACACTTTAATACAGTTTCTTATGTTGTGGGGACACTTTAATACAGTTCCTCATGTTGTGGGGACACTTTAATACAGTTCCTCGTGTTGTGGGGACACTTTAATACAGTTTCTTATGTTGTGGGGACACTTTAATACAGTTCCTCATGTTGTTGGGGCACTTTAATACAGTTCCTCGTGTTGTGGGGACACTTTAATATAGTTCCTCATGTTGTTGCGACCCACAGCCATACAACTCTATTCGTTGTTACTCCCAGTATCCATTTTAGGCTATAAAAAGCAGACGCGATGCGTCATAAATTCAATCAATATGTGTGTTCCGATGGTCTCATGCGACCATTGAACAGGGGTCGTTTGATCTACAAAAGAGTCGCAACCCACAGGTTTAGAACCGCTGCTTCAAGAGAATGATCATTATGTGTTACGAGCTGGGTTATCTTCACAGTACTCCGGTCACATCCATGGGTGCTCAGACTTCCCCCTTCTACATATACATCAACTTCCTGCTGACAGTAGTATTAGTCCGGTGCTAATTAACATGACTTATTGTAAGTCCAGTATGCTTCTCATGCTTGGCTGTATCGATGTTTACTCCCCTCTCTCGTATGCTTATGTGCATACGCTGCTCCTGGTATCCCTGGATCGTCCAGCTCTCCAAGGACATCAGCAGTGTCGGGGCGATCCATAGGTTGGCCATCTGCAACTGGACATGTAAAGTTACATAACTTTATAAGAAGAAATGGGTGTGTCAAAGAGGATGATGTCAGAGAATTCTTCAAACGTTTTATTGTCCTTACAAA